GGACGCGGGATCCGGGCGGCCCAAGCCCCGCGCGCTCGGGGCGCAAGGCCAAGGGCGGAGGCCGCTGCGCCCGGCCGACGTCGCGGGGAGCCTTGGCTAAGGTCCCTTTGCGGGTCGCTCCCTTTCTGCGCTGCTCGCCTGAACTCCCCGGCGTCCTCCCGGGACTGGCCGGGCACCTCGAGCCTCGCTCATTTAAAAGGCCTAAAAGCGCCTGGGTTACAGTTCGGTGCCTGTTTCCAAACCCGAGCAATCACAGGATTAAACGTGTGGCTTTCAACCCACACAAGATAAAGCCACGGGAATTGTTAGTGGGGAGCGGAGAGGAGGTCTGAGTCAGCACCGGTTGTTTTTAAACGACCCTTACGACTCTGTTTCTCTAAATTCCTGTAAGCATGAATCGGAGCGGAGAGGCTTTTATACCTGAGCTCACAGTTCGGTCGACACTGTTCTGATGGAGGTATTTTGGGCAGAACTCGCTCCCCTGACAGGGTCCGGTTCCTGGTCAGGGTGGAAAGTGCCTGTTCCCGGGGAGGGCCCTGGGCCTGGTCCCCTCTGCACAGTCCGCCTGGCACACACGGACCCGGGACCGGAGACCTTTTGTCCTGAGAATCAATCCGTTTAGTGCCCAAAGCCAGCTTCCCGCCTGCGTCCCCGCTGAGGCCGGGGAAGCGGCCGCCGGGTGAACCCAGCTCAGGGAAATTCGCGGGGCTGCTTTTGGTTTTGAAACAGGGTGACCGTTAACATTGGGGAGCAAAGGCTAACCTCTGGGCATATCCTTCAAGACCAGCAGAAACGGGTGGGGCTTTTCCGCGAAACCTGAGCGGGCCTGGAAAAGCAAAGTTTCGCCTTCCACTCGGACCAGGGGCGGGTGCTGAGTTCGTGTTTTCCGCGTAGAAACACCCACCCACTCGGCTCCTCGGTGGACCCCAAAGAGGCTGCCCGGCCCAGGGCCCCTCTAAGCTACAGCGCTCAGCGGTTCGGTGCCTGAGGACCTAGCAGCTGGGCCGGCCAGTGGTCATTCCCTGACTTTGGTAGTTTTCTCCCCTCCGGTTCCTAAGCGGGAAGGAGCAGCTCAGAGATTATTTAACCGGTTTTCTTTAGGGAGCAGAGGAGCCTGCTGGTGTTATGAATGGTAGTGACCCTGACGCTGGATCCCCCCGTTTCAGGTTAGCAGGTTCTCGCTGGGGCTAAGGGCCCGCTCCCCCCGGCTTTTTATTAGGTTTCCCTGAACGCCCCAAGCGTCTGGCCGGGGAGCCCAGCGCAGCCCTGGCTCGCTTGAGCCGCCAGAGACCCCGAAAATCGCTGGGTTTGAGGGTGCGGGGCTCCGAGTGTCCAGGGAAGCAGAGGCGGCCCAGTCATCTCTAACGCGCCCCAAAGGTCTCGTCCGCAGACCCGAGACCAGGGCTCCCCGGCTCCGCGTGGCCCTGGCGCG